TGCAAAGGAAATAGTCCCAACATTATTTAAGCCTCTGAGACGGCTTCAAGGTGAAAATGAAACCCTAAACCCTAAACCCCTAGACCCTAAACCCTAAACCTGCCGAAGCAGTACGACCCAACTCAAGTGAATCCTGCATGCTAAACTCATCTGTTTGACGTATCTTTTTAACGCAAAGCCCCATCCCCATCAACCCTCAACCCTAAAGCCAAAAATCCCTGCCATCTTCAAATAGTACATTGCATGCTCTTTTCTATTATCCCTATATAACCCCTATATACTATAGTGGCTTCCATTATATTTTCCATTATCCTATATCACCCCAACATACTATAGTAGTGTCCATTTCATTTTCCATTCTCCCAATTAGAGTTTAGGGCAAGGCCGGGGGTGGGAATTGGGAAACTCGAGCTCGACAACCGCTAAAACCCGAAAACCCTACCCACCCAATCCTGAATCCTAACACCTGAAAACCCCCTATAGAACCCCATACCCTCCCATTATCCGTCCCTAAACCCTAAACCCTCTAAACCCTGAACCCCAGCATACCCCTCTGTTGTCCCTCTCAAAATCACCCTAAAGATCTGCTCCGAGACCTGGGCCAGGCATAGGTGGAGGCCTCCCGCCAGCGTGGCGGCCTTTCCTTAGCGCAGGAGATGGTAAACGGTTACGGTTTTAGGCTTAGGCTAGGAGTGGTGTAGGAATTTAGGGTTGGGGGGGGTTAAGGAATCAAGGTTTAGGGCTTAAAGTTTAGGGCTTAAGGTCCACATAAGGTTTAGGGCTGAGTGAAGAAGATCCAGGGATATGCACCTTTCTAGGGCTTTGACGGATTGTTTAGGGAATCTGGAGGTTGGGGTTTAGGGTTCGACTTGTATTCGCGCACCCACGATCCCTAGCAAGTCACTTGAACGTAAATCCTACCTCAACCCCAACACAGGAAGCACACGGCGGTCTAGGACCCGTAATCCCGAAACCCGCTGAGTGTAACCACACAACGGCATTTGCAGGATCCTCTTTTCTCTAGTTCATCATCAGCTGGTGGGTTAAACGTGTACGGCTCAGAGTTTGGGGTTTGAGATTTCGGGGTTTAACGGTCCTAAAGCTGGATTGGAGATGTGACTTCCGGTACTAGGTTACCTATAGCCAAGGTTCTAGGCTTAGCCGGCTTCAAGGGTTCTCTAAGGTTCTTGGCTTTCAGGATGTGAGGCTTTCAAGCTCATGGTTGATTGGTGTCGGTCAGCTCCCTGTTTTCGATTGTTTTCTTACACCCAAGCGAAGGAGAGCACTCGGCGGAATGAGTTCGGATGACTCATATCGAGGTCTGGGCGCAGTGATTGTTACACAAACAAGAGCTTCCATGAATAGCATGACCGTATGACGGTACCATTCCCTTCCGCCTCTACAGCCAGGTCAAGCTTTGAATCGTGTGGAGCTTTCCTCTTCAGGGACACGGAAATGAAACTAAGTTGCTAATTGTTCAGATGATATCCCTGTATAATCTGTCTGCACGGAAGCATGCTCCACCGATTATACCCAGTTCCTTCTTAAGCAATCTCATGGTGCTGCGTGAGACGGCCTCTTCTTCGGATCACTGCCTGCATTTCCCGGACGCGATTCCCACCATAACTCTAAGCGCACAAGCCCTGGAACACCATCTGGGGGTTTCCCAACATATCCCCTTAATCTGAAATCCACCCCCNNCCCCCCCCCCCCCCCCCATATCATCGAGAAAGCGGTGAAGGCCAGGATCCTGGAAAAATTGTCGTGTAGGCGGCCAACTCTGAAGGTACAGGGTTGGAGTCCCCAAGAAATTGGTCCTGCTTGCAGGTCCAAGAGGTTCTCTTCATAGGGTCCAAAAAGGATCTTTCCTACCCTCAACTTTCAGAACTACGACGCTCCTCTGTACCCCAGGTCGCCAGACCCTGTAGTGTCAGCGTGCACAGCATGTGGCCATCCCATTCGCAGCTTAAAGCTGCAAACCATAGTGTGCTGGGCATGGCTGAACAGCCCCCAAAGCTGAAGCCGAAGCCGAAAAACAATAGCAGCTTCGACTGTATAGCCTACAGCATTGCAGAAAGCGTAATGCCAACCTAGAACAATATTGCAATAGTGCAAAGGTCTCCTCCTCCTATCAGTGCAAGACAGAGTCTATCAGCTGAAGACATGAGTATTGCAGGCTTGATAGGGGCTATAGTTGGGTTGAAGGTAATAAAATGTAAGGAAAACGGAGATTCGCCACGCCGGGTTTCAGGACTTCATGGGGCAAGAAACACAAAAACAAATCAGTTTGTGCGCATTCCCATTTTCACCACAAGAACAGCAGTTATTAAAGACTTGCAAAGAGGGAATTACAGAAAACCCTACTAGACCCCATCCTACTCTTGTCGCTCCATGAGTCTGAGAAGCAACGGTTCAAAAGTCGAAGAGACGAGGGCTTAGGGCCCGAAACCAAACCCTAAGGTATCGGGTTTACAGTAGCTTAAGCAACATGATCCGAATGTGCTTGATGATACCTGACTGAAAGGGGCTTCTCAAAAAATGAACCCTAAACCGCGTGGCCTTGTGCAGCCTGGGAATACACGGTGGCGGCGAGGCAGGGGTGGCGATGGTGGGGGCGGCGGCTGCTGTGTTGGCGGTGCCGGTGATGGATCTGGGTCGCAGTCGTGGCCATGGTACCGGTCGTGGTAGTGGCAGCAGCAACAGCAGCCGCACGAGTAGCGGATAGTAGAAAAAGGGGCGCATGAAATGCGAAATACGAATGACGTTCAAGAACGACGCCAAACAGGTGACGGCCGGGTGATGCAGTCCCACAAGTATAAGGAAGCAAGCGAAGCGCTCAGTGTCTCTTGATTGGTCAACACGTTTGGTGATTGTCATAAACAGGGGGCCCCATGCAGAGACACCTTCTTATATGGACCCCAAAAGGGGCCCCAATTTAATATATCTCCATTGTGTGTAGACACCAAGCCCAGCAGCAGCGGGATGTTTGTGAGACGTGCTCCTCAGTACTCTAAGGATCCAAATTCCCAAATGTTGGGGCTGAATACAAAGAACCCTTCAGGTTATAATATTTGGGGCCGAACAGCCCATTACTTGGGTGCTTGGACCCTCAGAGTTAGCTAGACAACACCCTGAACGGCTTTGCCGTGAGCGTTGCCACACACTGCGGTCTGTCCGACTGCTGGACTAGGGAGGCAATATCCTAGCGCTGAGGTCTTCAGCCATGGGTCTAGTGTGTAGGGTTCATAATTCCATTGGTACATGCGTTGTGTCTCAGATGTCTGCATACAGCGCAGCAAGCTTAGGTCAATAATGTGAATCAGGGCTTTAAGAACTGGATGATTTGGCAAGGTTCTGGGGTTCCGCGACATCCCTATCAAAGCTCTTAAGAGATTGAACCTGATCCAGGGATTCTGCCTAAAGCCATGACTTTTTGGCGTGCCCCCTAAACCCTAAACTTTCTCCCCCCCTCTCCAAGCCTGATATCCCTGTGATCTGACGGGGCCCCACTCCAAGCCCTCAACCCTCAGCCCCACCACTCGCTATGAAGCCACATGGGGCTAGGTAACAAGTATATGGTATCTCTCCCTAAAGCAGAAAACCGTTCTAGTGCTACAGGCCAAGGTCAGAGAAGCCCTAGCAAGATCTTTAATGAAGCTGTTTTGGGTTTGGGTAGGGTTTAGCGGGGATACACCTATGATGGAGAATCAAATGGAAAAGAAAAATGCAAAAAAAATGGAACAGAGCTTAGGGATGAGAATAGTTACCATGCAGTCCATTCTGCATCTGTCAGACGATCCGCGTTAATGCCCTGGGCTTTTTCGGACCGCGAGGTTTGTGCCGTTGAGAGACGCTGCATCCTATGGGTTGTGAGATTTGAGATGTCGGGCCGAAAGGCTTTGGCTTCGGTTTTGTGGTTCAGGGATGGTTTTGGGTTTAGCAGCTTAAACTAGTCTGAGGTTTTGGAGCCTAAAATGGTGTAGGGGTTCGGTTTTGAGAATATTTGACATAGCATGTCATGAAAGGGGGGATGGGTCCAAGGGGGTAGGTACTCGGGAACCCCAAGGAGCCCTAGGGGGTTGAGGGTTTAGGGTTTGGCGCTTGGATGGGCTTGGGGTTTAGCAGGATCAGGGATTGTTGGGGATTACCTACTAGGCCACCTGCCCCGCTTGAAGCACCAACCCTGAACCTCAAAATTAGGATCCAAAGGGGTTTAGGGTTTAGGGCCCAAATATGGATCCAAAATCCTGGGGTCTCTATGTACCAAATGTGTACTTCACATCTAACTTCGTGGGCCCCTATCCTTGTGAAAGAGGTAGCTGAAGTACTACAGGGGCCTAAATAATAATAATAATTACCAATATCATTTTGAGGTACCACATACTATAATTATGCAAGGAATATGGAACCATAATATTGGTAATTATTCATGCCCCTATAGTAGGAATGGTTTATTGGATCCTCTCAGACCTCAGGAACCCCTGCAGGAGGCCTCTGGACCTGTATCTTGCAAGACTCCAAGTTAAAGGTTACGTCGCCAATTCTTGCGATAATGTTATATATAATGCAATATAACCTTAAGACCAGGAATTCCGTACGGTCCAGGTAGACATGGTAGACCCTAAATCTCTATATCCTGAAGCCCAAACCTTGAACGCTACCAGGAAAACTTAAACCCAAAACCCTAAACCCCCCTGCAGCAAAAAAGTCCTTCATTGAGGAGGTCCAATTGCCACGACCTGCCCTTGAACCTAGGGCTCGAGGATTTTGGGTTTAGGTGTTGGGTATAGGGTTTAGGTTTTGGGGTTTAGGGTTTAAGTTTTGGGTGTTAGGTACAATGTTTAAGGCTTGGGCCTATGCCCGGAGAACAATGGACTATGAACAACTGTGTAACGTTGTAGTGTCCAATCTCTTTTCTACTGTGAAACACTGTCATTTATATCTAAAGTTACGTTCCAGTCGGGTCAAACACTTAAAAGTGCCACTCAGCTACCTAAACCCTAAACCCTAAACCCAGGAACAGGTGCGCCACCAATGACTTGACCTTGAGCGGGCGGAGGTGCTGGCGCAGCATGCATGGTTTTGACCTTCACAAATTCCGTTTTAGGTTTTTGGGTCTAGGTTTTGATTTAGGGTTTGCTGGTTTTGCTTTAGGGTTGAGGGTTGGAGTATCTCACAAATGGCGACCACAGGGACCCCGAAATGTCTTCAGCATTGGGGCGGGTCATTCTGGAGGACTGTATGGGGGTCATGTCGAGACATGACCATGTCATAAGGACTGCAAAAGACCGGAGCTTAAGGAGTTTCAAGGATCCTGAGAAATCTATTTAGAGACGTCAAGGACCAAAGATTGCTGGCAAGTGACAAACATGCTTCCAAAGAAAGCAGCAAGCCATAAGAAGAGGAAGCCAATTGGCACTCCCCCAACGAAGCCAAAAGCATATTGGAATATAGCCGGGAAGGAACCACTTCCTGGATCTGCACATGACAAGCCGTCGTCGGCTTCAAAGCAGTCTACATCTTCGCCGACAGCTGGTGGAGCACCATTGAGTGTCACGCTTGAATAACCGGTCACAAATTCTGAGCATTCACGTGACAAACGTGTCGCGCAATCTGAGCACTGCACTCTGTAAGTCTGGGAGCGTCGTCGGCAAGCTGATTCTTGTGAGCCCGAGCAGGAAGCTGGCAACCCGGAGCAAGAAAAGCAGGATGAGACCGAACATGTGCGCTTTTGAGCGGCAGCACTTGCCTCACCTCGCATGGCAGTGCCCGCGATGATGCAACCAACCCAGCACAACAGGAATAGAAGTATCAATATGAAGTGCACCCGTCTTTGTATTCTGCACCCATGCCCACACAACAAGCCAGTTGATGCTTCCCACCATGGACCTGTCAGGCAGCCCATGCTGCGCCGAAGATTGGGGACAAGCGCCAGCTACACAAACATGCAAGCTGACAACGCCTGAGCCAACAGCACGCTGACATGATGCTGCAGCTTCTCCGCATGTGAACACAGGCATGCATCGATGCGTGTTGTGTGATTTAATATCAGCCTATGGTATGTATGCATACATATCATCGTATGTGCATATAGTCCTCGTTAAGTAGATAGAGTATGGAATGCCCAATATGATATCAGGATCCCAATATACCTCATATTCTGTCTAGTTACGGGGGACTGTACCCTGAACCCCAGACCCTGATCCCTAAATCCTACACCCTAGAACATCTACTTACGGGGACTATATGAGCCATTGTCTACACTCCAAGTTGCCCTTAAGAACCCCTTAAATACGCCCCTATAGAATCCCCTATATAACCCCCTTTTAAGGAAT